CAAGGCCTGGAGCAAATTGTGGAACAGACCATCAATTGCTCAAATGCAAATTCAGACTGAAGTTAAAGAAAATGAAAAACAAGTCTACAAGAGCCAAAAACCAAAAGGGAAGAACATGCTCAGCATTTCTCAAGCTGAGGGAAATGAAGAATAAATTCAAACCTCAACTTTTGTTACTGAAGGATTCTCTGGGTAAATTATTGAATAATGCAGAAAGCATCAAAAGAAGATAGAAGGAATATACACAGTCACTGTACCAAAAGGAAATGGTTGATGTTCAACCATTTCAAGAGGTAGCATATGATCAGGAGCCAATGATACTGAAGGATTAAGTCCTCCAGTGCAGGAATTGGCAAAGAACAAGGAACTGGGAATTGATGGAATACAAATTGAAATCTTTCAAGAAAGTGAGGCAGCACTGGAGTCACTCACTCATCTACACCAAGAAATTTGGTAGACAACTTTCTAGCCAACTGATTGGAAGAAATCCACATTTGTGCCCTTTCTAAAGAGAGGTGACCCATCGGAATGTAGAAATAATCAGACAATATTTTTGATACCCCATGCAAGTAAAGTTTTACTCAATGTAATACCAAAATGACTGGAACCATACATTGACAGAGAACTTCCAGAGGTTCAAACTGGATTCAGAAGAGACCATGGAATGAGAGATATCATTGCTGACATCAGATGGATCTTGGCTGAAAGCAGAGAATACCAGAAAGATGTTTACCAGTGTTTTATTGACAATGTAAAGGCCTTTGATTGTGTGGATCATGACAAGCTATGGACAGCATTGTGAAGTATGAGTATTATGGAACACTTAATGTAGAACCTGTACATAGACCAGAAGCCAGTTGTTCAAACAGAACATGGGAACAGTGAATGGTTTAAAATTAGGAAAGATGTGTGACAAGGTAGTATTCTTTCACCATACTTATTCAACCTATATGCTGAGCAAATAATCCAAGAAGCTGGGTTATATGAAGAAAAACGTTGCATCAGGATGGAAGGAAGAGTCATTAACAACCTGTGATATGCAGGTGATACAGCCTTGCTTGCTGAAAGTGAAGAGTACTTCAGATAATTACTGATGAAGATCAAAGAGCACAGCCTCCGGTATGGATTACATCTCAATGTAAAGAAAACAAAAATCCTCACCACTGGACTAGTAAACAACATTCTTATTAATTGAGAAAAGATTGAAGTTGTCAAAGACTTCATTTTTCTTGGATCAACCATCAACACTCATGGAAGCAGTAGCCAAGAAATCAAATGACGTATTGCATGAGGCAAATCTGCTGCACAAGACCTTATTAAAATGTTGAAAAGCAAAGATGTCAGATCGAGGAATAAAGTACAGTATGCCTGACCAAAACCATGGTGTTTTCAGTAACCTCATAGGCATGCGAAAGTTGGACAATGAATAAGGTAGATCACAGAAGAATTGATGCAATTGAATTATGGTGTTGGGAGGAGAATATTGAAAGTACTATGGGCTGCCAAAAGAACAAACAGATCTGTGTAGGCAGAAGTACAGCCAAGAGTGCTCCTTGGAGACCAGGATGACCAGACTTTGTCTTTCATACTTTGGGCATATTGTCAGGAGGGACCATTCTCTGGAGGAGGATATCATGTTTGGTAAGGTGGAGGGTCAGAGAAAAAGAGGAAGACCCCCAATGAGATGGATTGGCAAAGTGGCAGCATCAGTTGGCTCAAGAGTGCCAACAATTAAGAGGTTTGCCCAGGACCAGGCATTGTTTCATTCTGTTGTGCATTGGGTCAGTATGAGTCAGTAGCGACTTGATGGCACCTAACAACAAAAACATTTCCATAATAAAAAGAGGGGCAGACTAAGCATACAAAAATCAGTGGTTTCTTCTTATTCTTGGCAATGGTGGTGGTAGGTGCCATCAAGTCGCTTCAAACTCATAGCATCCCTGCACATAACAGAGTGAAACATCATCTGGCCCTGCACCATCCTTACAACTGCTGTTAATTTTGAGCTCATTGCTGCTGCCACTGTGTCAGTTCATCTCTTTGTGGATCGTCCTCTTTTTCAATGACCCTCCACTTTACTAAGCATGATATCCATCACCAGGAACTGGTCCTTCCTAATAATATGCATGAAGTATGAGAGACAAAGTCTTACCATCCTGGTTTCTAAGAAGCATCCTGGCTGTATTTCCAACACAGATTTTGTTTGCTTTTCTGGCAGTCCATGGTACTTTCAATATTTTTCTCCAACACCTTAATTCAAATGCATCAGTTCTTCTGTTCACTTTCTTATTCATTACCAGTTTACACATGCATGTGAGTGGTGTGACACTGTAAGCACTATGCAGCAAACCACAAGGTTGGTGGTTCAAATCCACTAGCTACTCCTCAAAAACCCTGTTCAGGGTCACTATGTGTTGGAATCTACTAGATGACCTTTAACAAAAACAAGATGAGGCTATTGAAAATACCATGGTTTTAAGTGCACCTTAGTCCTCAAACTAATATATTTTTGCTCTTAAACACTTTTAAAGAGGTCTTGTGCACAGATTTGCCTAATGCAGTACTTTGATTACTCGGTTGCCACTTGCACTAGTGTTGATTATGGATTCAAGCAAAATAAAGTCTTTGACAATTTCAGTATTTTCTCCATTTTTCATGATGCTCTGTATTGGCCCGGTTGTGGGGATCTTTGTTTTCTTTACAGTGAGGTGTAATCCATACTGAAAACTGTGGTCTTTTATCTTCATGAATAAATATTTTAAGTCCTCTTTGCTTCCAGCCAGCAAAGTTATAACATTTGCATATAGCACATTGTTAATGGGTCTGTCTTCAATTCTGATGCTATGTTCTTCATATAATCCAATTTCTCATAATAAGTATGATTAAGCGAAACAACCCTAGTGCACACCATTCCTGGTTTTAAACCATGCAGTATTCTTGTTTTGGTTTATGGTCAGCTTCCTCAGGAGCATCATTAAGTGTTCTGGAATACCCTACCCGTCTTTTGCAAAGTTATCCATAGTTTGTATTGGTCCACATAGTCAACAGCCTTGCATAGTCAATAGCATAAACGCCCTTCTGATAGTCTCTACTTTCAGCCAAAAGCCATTAGACATCAGTAGTGATATTTGTAGTTTGGTGACTTCTTCTGAATTCACCTTGCATTTCTGGCAGTTCTCTATGTACTATTGCAACCATCTTTTTAATTATCTTTAGAAAAATTTTACTTGCATGTGGTACTAATGGTAATGTTTCATGACTTCTGCATTCCACTGCATCACCTCTCTTTAGGCATATGGATATTATCCTATCACAAACAGCATCGTACGTACTTCAAGACAGATCTTGAAATATTCCTTTTGATGATGAATGCAACGCCATTCTTGAATTTTTCATTCCCGACATAGTAAATCATATGATTGTCTGATTCAAAATGACTAGTATCAATGCATTTCAGCTCACTAATGGCTAGTATATAAATTTTTATGCATTCCTTTTCATTTTTTGGTAACTTCCAATTTTCCTAGCTAATACTTTGTACATTCCATGGTCTGATTACTAATGGATGTTTGCAACTGTTTCTCTTAGAGTTGTGGCCCTCCATAAAATAAAGGTCCTGAAACCTTTACTGCATTCACATCATTATGGTCAACTCTACTTTGAGGAGGCAGCTCTTTTCCAGTCATTTTTTAAAGTGCCTTCCAACCTGAAGGGCTAAACTTCTGGACTATGTTGTTGTTATGTGCCATGGAGTTGGTTCACTTCTGCACTGTATCTGACAATATTCTGTTGCTATTCATAATGTTTTCATTTTCCACTAGTATATCTGACTAGATTTTCAATGGCTAAACATTCAGAAGTAGTCGATCTCTCCTTCTTAGTAGTCTGTCTTAGTCTGGAAGCGCTGCTGAAACCTGTCCACTATGGATGATCCTGCTTGTGTTTAAAATAATGGTGTCATAGCTTCCAGCAGCATGCAAGCCACCCCTGTGTAACAAACTGACAAACGAATGGTGGTCTTTTATATTATCAAGAACAAATTAGAAACTATAATGAAAAAAATATATAAACTGCCTATATTCAATTTAAACTTGAAATAAATATGCAAACTGTAAGACTTACTGAGGATATGAAATAGAAAGTAAAGACTGAGCCTTAACATATTGATCTATGGGAAGGCTCAATCGTTTAAAAATCTTAGCTTATCCCAAATCATTATATTAATTGAGTTCCAGTGGAAATTCAGAAGAAATTGTTTTTAATTTATAATAGTTGTTTACAAAGTGTATAGTGAAAAAAAAAAAAAAAGCAGTACCCTAATATTAATGGAAAATTTGTAAAGACTTCCTAAAATATAATAAAATATACCATAGTATTATAGCAGTTAAAGCACTGCTATGATATAGGCATTATCATGTAACAGCTCAAGGAAATCAGTGAAATAATTCATAATAAAAGAAATGTTACTTGGGCAGTTGTATTGCTATATACGAGAAAAATACTAAGACCTTCATATAATATGCAAAATAATCACTGTAAGTTAAGCATTTCAATATGAAAAATAAAACCATAAAAATACTAAAATAGCAAATTTATGACAGTTAAAACTTTAAAATGAAAATTCTTAAGATCAATAAAGTGGCAAAGGAAATGGATAGGTACTGAATTCACATTTTACTGCAGCTCACCTTTAGTATGGAAAATATTAATGAGTTAACCAGTGATTAGCAGTTCACCTGATGAAGAAGAACCATGTCAGATTCAGTCATTCAATAATGATATAACCATATATTATCAAAATTGACATCTTTGGGGGTCTTGTTAGTTTGGAATTTTTATCCTTACTTTAGAACCTAACTTTCTGTATATATATATCTGAATTTACATTTTAGCTATCAAAAATAACTCTGTTAGTTTAGATTTGAAGATTTGCCATGCCGAGTTTAGTTGATTTTTCTGATGACATAACATTTGACACTACCTGATCTTCTGTCTTTTAGGCTACTGGATCAAGATCAGTTCCTATGCCGCTGTCAAATATAGCAGTGCCAAAATCATCTGTTTCACGTGTGTCCTGCAATGTAGAGGGAATTAGTCCTGAATTAGAAAAGGTATTCATTAAAGAAAATAATGGGAAGGAGGAAGTATCCAAGGTAAGATTACAGGACCTTTTTATTTGTGGACTACCTCAAATGTACTTTGTTTGGTAATAGCTTTATTAAAGTCTAAAGAACCCTGGTGACATGACATAGTGGTTAAGCTGCTAATCAAACAACTTGAACCCACTGGTCTCTCCTTAATGAGAAAGATCTGGCAGTCTGCCTCTGTAATGATTCTTGTTATTGTTAGGTGCCACTGAGTCGGTACCAACCCATAGTGACCCTGTGTACAACAGAACAGAACACAGCCCAGTTTGGTTTGGTTTGGTTTTGAAGTGGCCAACCTCACTATCATTGCAACTTTGCCAGTTCATCTCACTGGGGGTCTTCCTCTCTTTCTTTGACCCTCCACCTTACCAAACATGATAGATATCCTTCTCCAGTGACTGGTAACCTGTGTGGCAGTTCTACTTTGTCCTAATAGGGTCGCTATGATTTAATGATGTAAGTTTTTTATTTTTAATTAAGATATAATTTAGATACAGTGAACTCATTTAAAGTTTATAGTTTAGTGATTTTTAGTTTTTAACTTACAGCTTGTTTTTAGATTGTGCATCCGTCATTACATTCAATTTTAGAACATTGTCATCATCCCAATAAAGAATCCCAGATAACTCTTTAGTAATATTTCCTCCAACCTTTAGTCCTAGGCAACCACATCTGGTTTCTCTGTTTGTAGATTGGCCAATTCTGGACATTTCGTAGAAATGAAATCATAACAGTATATTCCCTTTTGAAGACAGGCTTCTTCCACTTAGCATAATGTTTTGAAAGTTAATCTACATTGTAAGATACACGAGACTTTCAGAAAGGTCATGAAAAAGATAGATAATGGAATTTTTCCATGAACTTTTAGAAATTCCTTAGATATCAATATTTCATTCCTTTGTATTAACATAATATTCAACATTTTATTTGAATTGATGTCATATAGAGTTTTTCTACTTTTTGGCTGCTGTGAACATGTAAGTTTTTGTATGTATGTATATTTTCATTTCTCTTAGATTTGTTGTTGTTAGGTGCCATCGAGTCATTATTAACTAGAAATGCAATTTGCTTGGTCTTTTGGTATCTATGTTTAATTGTTTGAGGAACTGCCAGACTGATGGCTACATCATATTACATTCATCATCAGTATATGAGCGCTCTGGTTTCTCTTCAGTTGTAATTAGTTATCTTTTTGATTATAGCCATTCCTAGTGTGTGTGAAATAGTAATTCCTATCATCGTGGTGTTGATTTGCATTTCCCTGATGCCTAATGATGTTGAGCGTCTTTTCATGTGCTTATTAGCAATTTACGTATACAAAGACAATAATACAAGGAAAGGTTTATTCTGATCCTCTGTCCATTTTTAAAATTAATCTTTTTATGATTAAATTGTAAAAGTTACATTTATTTTTTAGATACAGATCCTTTATCAGATATATGATTTGAAAGCATCTCTCATTCTGTGACTTGTTTAACTTTCTTGATGGTGTCCTTTGGAAGTGAATTTTTCATTTTGATGAAACCCAGTTTATGTTTTTTGCCATTTATATTTTTGATGTCTAAAAAATGTTTTTCTAATTCATAGTCAAAGATTTATTTTAATGTTCCAAAAGTTTTATAGTTTATATCACACTGAAATTTTTGATCCACTTTGAACCACTTTGTAAACAACTTATGTACCAGAAAGAAGTCTGGACACCACTGCCTGTAGACCTATATTTGACCACATTTTTAAAGGTAGACGCAGTAAAGGAAACTACCAATAATACCCTTTGGTTTAATCATTTCTCTGATACTTCTTTAGAGCTAAAATCTGATTTGATTTACATCAATGTATGTTTGCTTCCTTCAGATAATGTGTACCTTTGAAAACTGGTTTAAAGTTAGTTTCCAAATCCTAACATATCAGCTTTGTATTTATAAAATAAAAACGTATAACTTCCTTCCCATACATAATATTACTCAGTGTTCCTAAACCTTGTTTATCATTAACTTGTATATCCCTTCCAGATACTTAGTGTGTATACTACTACACATTAAATCATCGTGTGAATCAATGTACCATAATTTATTTTGCAAGTTCCCTGTTGATGAATGTTTAGATTGCTTCCAGTTTTACCATCCTAGCAAATGCTTTAGAAAATACTATGCATGCTTGTAAATTAAATTTCTGGCAGTGAAATTGCTAAGTCAAAGCACTTGTTCATTTAAATTTCAACAAATATTGCCAAAAGGACGTTCCCAGAAGGTTGTGTCATTTGACTCTCCTTAGACAGTTCACGTGAAATTTTAATTTTGTATCTATTCTATGAAGGAAATTTTTGGAAATTATACCTTCTACTAGGTATTTAAGGAGCTCTGGTAACGTAGGGGTTACAAATCGGACTGCGAACCTTAAGGTCAGCAGTTCGAAAGTACCAGCTACTCCATGGGAGAAAGATGAGGCTTTCTGCTCCTGTAAAGATTTACAGCCTCAGAAACCCTGTACAGGGTCGCTCTGAGTCAGAATCGACTCCATGGCACATAACAACAACATTAGGTACTTACTGTTTAATTGTTTCTGTAACATATCAAGTAAGGTTTAAGGACAGTTATACAAGGAAATTAATGTGTGGCCTAATTTTTGAAGGATGAGCTCATCAGTCACTTAATTTGCTGATTTTTGGAGAATTTCAAGACAGAACTATACTAAAATATAAAAATTGCTAACAGTTTTACTTTTAAGTTTTGGAGTTCTGGTGTAATGCTATATATAGTATAAGCACTGGACTGCTAACTGCAAAGTCAGTGGTTCAACCCACCAGCCGCTCTGTGGAAATCTTACATAGGATCAATTATGAGTTGGAACTGACTCAACGGAACTTAACAATGGTAAGTAGAGGAAACCTAGTAAAATACTAATTTTTAGATTTATGAGATCAATTGAAACTTTTAATAAATATAACCATTACTGAATCTCCCAGTTGCATATAAAATAAAGTTGTGTTAGTATATTATGTTTTAATAGTAAATAACTTCTTTCCAAGCCTTTGTATTTCCCATTTCTATTTCATCCGAATACAGATTTTTAAAACCTATTTTGCTTATTTAATTTTTCTCTTCTCAACAAAGCAACAGTTGGTAAAGGAAATAGATTATGTGGGAGGGTAAGTCAAAAGTGTTGTTACAAATCATGGAACCCTTTACTAAATACAAATATCAAAACGTGAAGCTGCTGTTTCTCATCATTATCCTCTGATGAGTTTTAAGAAAAAGAAGCCTGAAGGGGCAAGATCTGGACTGTTGAGTGGATGGGTTAAGGTTCCCGGATGAAATTCTCCTTGCTGCTCTCAAAGAATGAGCCAGTGTATTGTCCTGATAGAAAAAAAAACTCCGCCATGTAATTTTCCTGGCTTCCTCCTAACCAATTCAAATTTTCAGTTTTCACAAAGCTTCTTAGTAAGCCTCCGTGATTGTCCTGTATCCTTCCAGATAACTATCTGGATTGTTACCCCTTTGGAATCTGAGCTGTCCTCTTGGCTTTGAATTTAACTGGCCCAGCAAATCCCCCTTGATGCCATTGTTTAGATTTGAACTTTTTTTTTTTTTTTTTTAAGACACTTAAACACTTCAATGAGACTAAGACAAGTGTTATTACTGTGAGAACTGATCACAAAGACATGTTTAAACATTTTATTTGAAATAAACCTGTGCATATGTGAATTAAAGCCCTGTTGTTGTTAAGTGCCGTCGAGTCGATTCCGACCCATAGTGACCCTGTACAGAGTTTCTGAGGCTGTAAATCTTTACGGGAGCAGAAAGCCTCCTCTTTCTCCCACGGAACAGCTGGTAGTTTCGAACTACTGACTTTGCGGTTCACAGCCCGATTCGTAACCACTACGCTACCTGAGCCCTGGTAGCAATACTTTTTTACTTACACCCTCATTTTATTAAGTTTATCAGTTAAGAAATGGGACTATAAAACAAATGTGTTCATCAAATAGGGCATGAGTGAAAGATGACTCAAATTCTTAAACTTTTTTAGTAGTTAACAATATTCACACTTTTATGAAAGTATTTTCTGAGTTTGGCCAAGTAAATTAATATGCTTGTTTTAGTTTCTTAAATTGCCAAGTTTTACTTTTGAAAATTTGTCTACAAAATGAATTGATATTTAAATAGTAGAGTGTTTTCATTAAAGTAGTTATTCCCAGGTTGTGAAGCCGGTATTGTTTTAGTTTAGTAGTATTTGGTTTATCATTTATAGAGAAACGAAATTGACTTTAGTAGTTAAGCGTTTCAACGTAATTTGCTTGTTTTTTATGGAGAAATTGGTACATTTTGAATCTTGTCTAATTTTATCTTCCCACATTTTCCTTTTGACGTGTTTCTGAAAACTTTTGATACCCAACTCTGAGTAAGAGCTAAAGATGCATTTAGGAGAGAAAATAAGTTGTATATAAACTGAGAATGCCAATTTTTTCCCTAGTATTGAATCCTGTCTATATAGTAACAAATTATTTTAAATCGTTTAGGAAAGAGTTTATAGGATTTTATTTGCTGACCTCTTTTTACTAGTACAGAAACAAGGAAGATGCAGAGTAGTACATTTGAAGAGAATCCACTGCAGTAGGCGGTCTTAACTACAAGTACCCTTAAGTTACAGGAAGACATTGGACTAGTGTTTCCTAAGGTCCCTACAACTTCAAAATATATGGTTCTATGAATATAGTTTATTTCTTACTGTTACTTACTTTTTTGTACCACTCAGAACAGTTCATTAGAACTAATCAATAGTTCTACCAAGTTGGTTACCAGGTGAATAGAATTGTTCCAAGTTATGTTAATATCCTATCTTCAGTACTAATACATTGTTAAGTGCCATCGAGTTGGTTCTGATTCATAGTGACCCTGCATAGGGTTTCCTAAGAGTGGGTGGTTGGTTTAAACCACTGACCTTACATTTAGTTGTTGTTAAGTGCTGTCAAGTCATTTCTGACTCATAATATAGGAACCCTATATTATAAGGTTTTCCAAAGAGCAGCTGGTGAGTTTTGAACTGCTGACATTGCAGGTCAAGCCAAACTTGTGGTCCAGTGCTTACCCTAGTGGTCCAGGACTCACTAATATAGTAAACTTCCTTATTAGAAATTGTAAGTACTTTGCAAAAGAAATAGGGTTCTTAGCTTTAAAAAATTAAAGTAGGAAAGATGAACAAAGCAGTATATTTTTACCTGTGAATATGAGATTTCACTTTTTTTTAACACAGTTCAGAATGATTTTTTGAGCAGTTTGGTTAATTCATTCAACAAGTGTTTACTGAAGAGTTGTGTGCCAGGCACAGTGCTAGACAATAAGGACCACAATGTTAAACAAAAGAAGCCCCTGTCCTCAGTGAGATTTATGGAAAATGTTAACCCTACAAATAGTATGCATTTTTTAAGGCAAACAACATAGCCTCATGATTTGAAATCCTAACTACCTTTGAGACTTGAAAGACAACATACAGAAATTAGCTTCCAAAGAAATTTGATATCTTTATCTAGTCTCTGAAATATCAATTATAGTGATAACAGGATTATGAAATTTGAGGAATTGCTGTGTGCTTTTTTTGTATGGCCATAATGTCTGCACTATCAATTGCATGTTTAATTGTGTTCCTCTTGCAGCCTTTGGACATTCCGGATGGTCGAAGAGCTCCACTTCCTGCTCACTATCGGAGCAGCAGTACTCGCAGCATTGATACGCAGACTCCCTCTGTCCAGGAGCGCAGCAGTAGCTGTAGCAGTCATTCACCCTGTGTCTCCCCGTTTTGTCCCCCGGAATCCCATGACGGCAGCCCTTGCTCAACAGATGACCTACTCTATGATCGTGATAAAGGTGAGAATGAATCATCCACCTATTTAAAGGGTTGTTGTAGGGTCGTGCTCATTATACGTTTTTTGTCTTAGACCATTACTTTTTTCTCCTGTTGAATGATGGGATTGTAAAAGATTTGTTAATGTAGGTTAGTTTATTTACTGATTTCACATGCCCTGTTCTTTGTGACTCTCAAAATCATCTTCCATAAATGTGTCAGAGAGACAGCACACAGTTCTAACAGTTCATAAAAGCTATCAAATAGTATGTACAACTTCACATGAGATCACACACAAGTCTTTTCCTTAATGCTGTCCAGATCTAATGAAGGTTATGGTAGAGTCTTATTTCTCATACTTGAAGTTAGATTTTGTAATCAGATTGATTTTGGTGATAATAAATCTTAAAAGAATCTTAATAAATTGTTAAGTCTTACAAGACCTCGGGAATTATATTATATTAACTAGTCCCATAGGAGGAGAGAGTCTCTGGGATTTCTTGTTGCTTTTTAACTGTGTCCTTCAGGTTTGCTTACCCTGTGTCAGGCATGGCTAACACCATTCACTGGTTTTTTGTTTTTTCAGTTTCTGGCTCCCTCAGATTTAGCTGCAGAAGGTAGTGACACCTTCGTAGCTATTTTCAAAGAAGCATGAACTTCTCAACATGTTTAATGCTTCTTAGCATAGAGTTACAGAGGTTAGGTAACAAAAAGTTTTAAACATAAAGAAGTTAAAGTTTATGAAGTTTTACAGGATTGGTTTAGATCCTTGCCCTGATTTGGTTCCCTATTTAATTTCTTTTGTTCAAATAATAATGTATGCAAAATGCCCAGATCTTAAGTACTTGGTTCAGTGAATTTTTACATTTCACCACTACCTAGAATATGCTTAGCATCCCAGAAAGCTTACTGGGTCCCCTTCCCAATCAGTACCAATTCCCTCTTCACCTATATTTGTTCTTGGATTTCATATAAATGGAGTTATATGATTTTTATTATTTTATCTTATGTCTGGCTTCTTTCATCTCTCACCAAGCCTCTCTTAAATGGGAGAGACTTTGTCCTCTTCTTTTATTTCTACAGGTAAATCTCAACAGTCTTCCCTCTTCTTTTCACCCTTTCATTGTTGAACATTGTTATTGTTAAAATGCTATTGCGTCTCTTCTGACCAATAGTGACTCTGTGTAGAGTTTCTGAGGAACAGCTGAGGGGTTCAAACCACTGACCTTGTGCTTAGAAATCCAGTGCTTACCCTACAGTGCCACACCAGGACCCCTTCCTTCCTTAATTAGGGAAGGCACTAAAGGCAGTATTTTAGGCATCGCTTTACTTCAAGTTAGAAGTCCTACTTCTAGAAAGTCAAGCTAGGAAATTTTCATTTCACTGAGGCCCTGTACAGGAGCAAACACCTTTAATTGCTTCCTCACATGCAGTGATTTTTAACTATAAATGTTTCATAATAAAACTAATAAGAAAAACACCTTCTGGTAATAGTGTTTTGCTTGTTTGATTTGAAGGTAAGTAGAATGTTAAATTATCAGCTTGTTTTAAGTGAAACATAAGTGGAAGTAAGGTTTGTATGATTGATTCCAAAACTCACTCTTTGTTTTTCCAGCAGAAAAAATTAGAGCAAGTCACGTTGGCCACTTTTGCTACATATTATTTTGTTATTGTTTTTTGCCTTGGAGTTGGTTGCAACTCTTAGTGACCCTGTATAGAATTTTTGAGGTTTTAAATCTGTGCAGGAGCAAAAAGCTTTATCTTTCTCACTACTCTTGGGCTCAAACCACAGCACAGACCTTGTGTTTGCACTCCTGTGTCTGTCGTATAGAACCACCATGCTGCCTCATATTCATTTAGCACTTGTAGCTTGATTTTACTAAAAAGAGAAAAATAACAGTTATAATGAAACTAGGCCATGAATTCAGGATTCGTATTTTCTTCTTTTAAGCTTAATACTGAGAATAATCGAGAAACACTAAAAACCAAAAGGGGGATTTATTAGGAAGATTATAGATGAGATGCATTTTTTTTTTCCTTCAGGATTTTTTGTCTTTGTTTGTAACAAAATTTTACAGATATTACTGAAACCCTTTTCCCCTCTTCACCCATATTCTCCTCTCCTTTCCCTTGTAGTATCCACATAATCCTGAAGCCATTGTGCCCTACATCTGCCTCGGCCATGTTTTTTTTTTTTTTTTTCAAATGTTTTATTGTGAATTATTATGTCATAGTTTACATGGGAGAACATTAGTTTTACATTCATCCTATCATATATCGTTTCATTGCCGTGGTTACAATCCCTTCCATGCATCATCAACCAACCAAAGGGTATACACTACAAGTCTGACCCCCCTCGGCCATGTTTTTACATGTCTACCTCATTTGTGATTCTATACAAAAGCAAAGGATCATATTGTTTTCTAATTTTAAAAGTTTACTTTAGTGGTGTTCTTTAACTAGGAGTCCTGGTGTGGCACCATAGGATAAGCAGTTTGCAGTTTGAACCACAAAGTCGGTGGTTCAAAGTCACTAGCTGCTCCTTGGAAACCCTATATAGGGTCACTATGAGCTGGAACCAACTCAGCACTTAACAAGCAAAAATTCTTTACCTAAAAACCTGCAGTGTTAACTATAATTCTGCAACTGCCTTTTCTTTAAAACATTCTGTCTTCAAGAACTATCTGTTTACAATCTGTTCGGCCTTGTGAATCCTCAATGAGATGGATTGCCAGAATGGTCCTCTGCAATGAAGAGAAACATTCCAGACATCAGGAAGATGGCATTGTTGTTAAGTGCCTTTAAGTTGATTCTGACCCATAGCAACCCTGTATAAAGTTTCCAAGGAATGGAAATCCACAGCACCATACCAGGACTCCGAAGATGGCATGTAGTTGTTTTTGTTACACACCATCGAGTCTATTCCAACCCATAGCGACCCTGTATAGGCTTTCCAAGGAACAACTAGTGAGCTTGAATCACCGATGTTGCAGTTGAAACAACTTTGCAGTCTAATGCATTAGACCACAGTGCCACACCAGGACTCCTTCCCTCCATATAGCAGATGCATAAGAGCGGAGAGTGGGACCCTATCCAGTGATGCCAGAGATGGAGGCAGAGAGGACGACATGGGGAGATGGAGCGGCTGGGGATTTTAGACCCAGAGAGGGAGGGGGGCTGTGTGCTGATGACCGGGGGGCAGGCTTGCAGGGTATATCCTTTGGTTGGTTGATGATGCATGGAGAGGATTATAACCATGGCAATGAAACGATAGGATGAATGTAAAACTAATGTTCTTCCATGTAAACTCTCACAGAATTCACAATAAAACATTAAACAACAAAAAAAGTAGGTACATAAAGAGGAAGGGATGATTTTTAGACTACACACATTTTGGATTAAATTTAAGCTGATAGTGCCAACATTACTACTTAGAGTTTTCAACAATATATGAGGGGACTTCAAAATATTTGCAGAAAAAGATAATGGAATTTTTCCATGAACTTTCTGAAGCCCCATCATTTAAGGTTGCAATTTGTTTTTCATATGATCCCACCAAAACGTTGTAATGTCAGACTATTTACAAGTGAAGTTTTATTCTCCAGAGTCCTGCTGTGGCGCTGTGGCCAATGCGTCAGATCATATAGTCATTTGAACTGCAAAGTCGGTGGTTCAAGCTCACCAGCTGCTCCCTGGAAAGCCTATACAACAGCACTATGGGTCGGAATTGACTCTACGGCACTTAACAACCCAAGCTTTATTTAAAGTGGCCTGACCCAAGCTATGGTAGTTTTAATAACCTCATATGCATGTGAAAGTTAGACAGTGAATAGGGAAGAAAGTAGAAGTATAGATGCATTTAAACTATGTTGTTGGAGAAGAATATTAATAGTACCATGCACTGCCAAAAGAACAAACCAATCTGGGTTGGAAGAAGTACAGCTAGAATGCTCCTTGGAAGCCAGGATGACCAGACTTTGTCTCTCATACTTTAGACATATTATCAGAAGGGACCAGTGATGAGTTGCATTTTGAACTTGTTGCTACGTGCCCTGGAGTCAGTTCCGACTCATAGCCACCCTGCATAGGGTTTTTGAGGCTGTAAATCTTTAAAGAAGCAGAAAGCCTCATCTTTCTCCCGTGGAACAACTGGTAGTTTTGAACTACTGACTGTGAGATTAGCAGACCAATTCATAACCACTACGCTACCAGAGCTCTTTACCTACCTTTAAGGCCTTCAAATAAATTTATCTACCTCACAGTAGATAAATGTGCAGTTTCTGTAGCTCAGTGGAGGTCCTAACTTAGGTAATGCATTTTAAACCATGGCGCTATAGGATAAGCACTAGACCGCAGAGTCAGTTTGAACCGCAAGGTTTGCAGTTCAGACTCATCACCCACTCCTCAGAAACCCTATATGAGGTTTCTATGAATCAGAACCGACTTGCTACTAGCACTTAACAACATATTCTTTAATTTCACTTTTTCTTAAAGGTTTGTTACCTATTTCGTTATTAGATGGTGTATTCATGCCACTATTCTGCTAAGGTTGTTTTCAGGAAACATTAGGCCGCAGAAGTTGAGCAACACCACCTTTAGGACCACACAGGAATGGACTTGAATCTTTAAAGTTTTTGGTATGAAGACTGCACTAATTCTCAAGGACTTAATAAATGGTTGTTGTTGTTAAGTGCCGTCGAATAGATTCTGACCCATAGCAACTCTGTGTTGGGTTTCCAAGGAGCAGCTGATGAGCTTGAACCACAGACCTTGGAGTTCAAACAACTTTGCAGTCTGACACATTAGCCCACAGCGCCACACCAGGACTCCTAATAAATGGTAACGGCTGCTATGTATTCATCATCATCATTGTCACCTGCTGACTCCACGGCCCACCAGCACCACCACCGGCTTCCTAATACCTTTAGGAAAAAAATGTGTTTCCTTTCTTCCACAACTTAGGCGTAACTGCTGCCAATTATCTAATAACCTGAATCTGGCCATTTTTTTTTTTTTAGACAGG